GTACTGAGCAATCTCGTCCAGATACGATAAAGGCAGTTTGTTGTTCTGGAATATTCAAATATAAGAGGTTGGCTTCGGCCATCTGACCAACTTTTCAGAGTGGCCTTGGGAATTGCCCGATGTTTATGGTCAAAATTTCTCTCGCAACTATGAATTACTTTAATTATAACAGACTTCTCAATGACACTAAGAAAATTTTCGAGCAAACTAGCATGTAGAAAACGATTTGTCAAAACACCAAGATTGCCCGAATAATAGAGCGGAGGGCGGGAAGGACCGAGGGGGGAAGGGGAGGGGGAGAGAGGAGGGGTTCCAGTGATATAATTCAGCTAAGCCTATGTGATGGAAGAAGCTTTGTAAACCCCCTCCCATCACCCCCATCTTGAGTTTCATAATTCCTCGCGGGGTCCAAAGCCTGTTACTTGTACGTATGTTTTGGGATATTACTCGAGCAGTCGTCGTCCATGCCCCCGCGGGTACCCCTTACTACTACCTAGTGACCATCAATAAATTCAACAGCTCATCAGATTTTATGTTTTCGCGCAGTCATAGCAACATTAAAAAAAAAGCCAAAATTCAATGCCCCTTTTTTCTTGTCTTTTGCATTCCTTTAAAAGAAGGGAAAGAAATTTCGGATCGTCAGCAGGTTGACTACCAGGCAATGTAGCGTTGGTCAGTGTAATTGGAAAAGATTTCAGCTTTATAGACTAGGAATCAAAAAAATAAATTCGCTGATCTAAGCGTCTGAAATACGAACAAACCAAAATGAACTGCTGCGCAGCTTCGTATGGATCTGTTCCTTTCTTGTAACGTAACTCAACATTCGGTTCACCATCGCCCAGTGCTATTTTTATTCTCACAACTTCAGGCTGCTAAAAATCATCATTGAAGAAGTTTTTGATGCAAACTGTAGCTTTTTAAAGCCACTTTTTAAAAAAGTGGATATTTGTGGGAAGTCTGAAAAAAAAGTCACGTCAGCTGAATTTCAAAAATTGGCCAACGCACGGGCTGCCCGTGCGAAGATGCGTTTTTTGCAGAGTTCCCTGCAG